GATGTAGACTCCTTCCCACTGAAGGGGGGCGGTTCCCTTGTAAGGCTCCTCCTCCAAGCCTGACATGCTGTGCAGGTGCAGGGCTGCCTAAACTCTTAGTTACTCTTTAACCCCTTTCTGCCTGGTGTGGGGTTTGTATGCCCCATTGCACATGGGTAAGCATTTGCAGGGTTGGAGTCCTAGTTTGTGGACAGTTCCTGGTTTTCAGGTGTAACTACAATACTGTGGAATGGCACATATATCACTGAGTAGCCGGGGAGTGTAAAAATTTTTAAAAGCTGTTTTCAGTATGATTTTAAAAGTAATCAAGAAGGTAGTTCTTTTGTTTTTATTTGCTAAAATTTGGGGCTTGAACTACGTAGAGACACAGAAAATGTTACCTCTAAAAGGGTGTGTATTTTAAACTGTAATGCTGGGCATAAATTATGCTTCTGCAATTAAATTTGCTTCTCACTTACTATCACATTAATTCCATTTGTAGGATTCCCTACAAAGATATATTTGATCATTTAAAAAAGATTTTAAAAAGAGTCCATACCCACGGAGTAGCAGCTAAACTGGAGGATTCCTTATTCTTACCTCCATAGATCTCTGCAACTGAATCCCAGTTATTTGGGATGGGCATTGGGCAGAGAATTTCCCATGAAAGCACATTTAGTATCTTACACTTACAGGATGTGATCCTTCAACCCCCATTGACTGCAATGGGACTAGGTGAGTAAGGATCACTCCTGAAAAGAAGGTTTTGCAGCATTAGACCCATGAAATATAATACATACCTTTTCATTCAAAAACATCTACAGAACTGTGCTAATAAAAAGTTGCCAGCCAGATGTTCCAGTTAGATTCAATAATCATGCACCAGTGCTTCCAATTGTTTAAAAATGGGGAAATCTTTGAAGGGATATTTCAATTCCAAGGATTCAGAACATTGTACTTTCTATTATGTGAAAACTGTCTGGGTGCATCTTTTCAGATTTCATAGTTGGCAGGTCTGAATTAAACATTTTGCAGAGAAATTAATTCTTTCTGATTACACATAAAATGCACAGTATACTGTTGGACATAACTCCAGTCGCTCATATGAACCCAGTCCTGTGCATATTCAGAAATCAATTACACCAGTGTAAATCCACAGCAACTCCATCAATTTGATTATCCTGATTTACACTGGTGTAAGAGACCAAAATATAGCCCCATGTTTGGGGAAATTTAGCTGTCCTAGCTAATACAACAGCATTATACTCAGGTGTTATTTTAATTCACTCATTAATAAGTTTCAAAATGAAGTAGACTTAAATAAAGGACCTTTTATAAATAAAGGGAAGGGATGGTGGGGAGGGGGTTGATTTTATTGTTGTTCTGTACTGGGTTTTTGGTGGTAGTATTTGTTGGGTTTGTTTGGGAGGATGCTGGTGGTGGTTTTCGTTTTGGTTGATTGGGGTTTTCAGGGAGCAGATGGTGATGGTGACTTTTGTCTGAGTTGGTTGGGTGCGTTTGTTTTATTAGGTGGCTGGGTTTGTTTGGGGACATACTGGTGGTGGTTTTTGTTTTGGTTAGTGTCATTTGTTAGTTTGTTTGTTGGGTAGTTGGGTTTTTGCGAGGGATGTGGTGGGGTGTATTTCTGGATTAGTTCATAGATTCATAGATTCTAGGACTGGAAGGGACCTTGAGAGGTCATCGAGTCCAGTCCCCTGCCCGCATGGCAGGACCAAATACTGTCTAGACCATCCCTGATAGACATTTATCTAACCTACTCTTAAATATCTCCAGAGATGGGGATTCCACAACCTCCCTA